GATGATCGGTCAGATATTGCAGAGATACATCAAGATACCGCAAAAAAACCGTCCGCACTAGGGCTTACGAGAGGGGCCGGGGTCGCGCGGAGAGGACGGATGCTTGAGCACTTGAGCACTGGATAGGGTCGATTCCGCATGGTACGGGACCCCTCGATCGTCTCGCCCTCCCTCACTGGTGTGTTCATTGGGGGGGGTCATAACAAACACGGTACAGGATCGAGGTGCACGCTGCAGGAGCAGTGTCGTCCCCCCTCTCCCCGACGGCGATGGCGGTTTGACCGATCGAGCTACAAGAGGAGCTTGTTCAGCAGGATCCGGGATAGTCTGATGCACTACCTCACTGGGCCTGAGACCATCAGCCAGCATTCCGTCACCGTCTCGGGTTTGTGTGGGATCGAACCACTCCGGGATGGGCAAGCCCATCGTTCATTGTGAGTCGTGCCTTTCCCCACTGGTTAATTGTCAAAATTCCTGTTGTGCAAGAGGGGAGGGGGCTTCAGGGTTGGTGGACTAACATTAGCACACCTCCAGGGGCAGCACTGACTACAGATCGTGCCAACACTTGGCGCAAAGGTCGGTGTTAGCACAGTCGAACGGCAGTCCCAAAACAAGCGTTAGCACAGCCGTTAGCACGGTGTTGGCACACCCTCCGGGTAAAACCCGGGTATACCTGCAAAAACCCAGGTATACCCGAGAAATACCTGGGTCCGCGTCAATGCCGCGCGCGCCCACGACTCCCAGGGCCCCTGCGCCAACTGCGGCTCGCACCGCCTGCTCAAGTACGCGCACCGCACCATGTGCGCTCGCTACAAGTGCTAAAAGGCGCGCCGCCTTCGGCATGAGGAGTCGGAGCGGCAGCGGCTGCAGGCGAGCTCGCTTGAGCGCCCTCCCCAGCTGAGCACCGGCACTCTCGCCCTCCGCTTGCTCCCCACTGATCTGGCTCTGGCCCCGCCACCCGCAGGCCCGCCTCGACCGCGCCGCGTCCCGTGACAAGTGCCACGGCGAGGCCAAGGCCACCGAGGCCGCGTCCAAGGCCCTGCTCCGCACGCAGAGGGCGGAGGAGGCACGCAAGGCGCGGACCGCCGCCGAAGCAGAGCGGGCTGAGAAGCTTGCCTCCCTCTCGGCTCGCGTTGAGGAGTCGGCGGAGCGCAAATCCAAGCTCATGGCGGCGACGCAGGCCAAGAATGCGCATTGGTTCAAGCGCGCTCTGGCCGTCGTGGCGGCCCACAAGGAGCAGCAGCGCGAGGCCGCGCAGGCCTCCGCCATGATGCTCGAGACCAAGTTTGGCGCCGCCGCCGAGCGACGCACCGCGTCGATGAGCTACAAGCCGAACTCGGGCTCGCGCGCAGAGCTCGTCAAGGCGGCGGTCGAGACGACCAAGCTCGAGCAGGC